GTACTGTTTTGATTTCCCTGGCGTGTGTATGTTGTAACATGATTCTGAAACGTAATACGATACAAGCAGCAGGTAGGATGAACACAATATCAGAAAGTCATGAAGCTTATCTAGGAAACATTTATTATATAATACATGTAAACGCAAGAGTGCTCTAGCTTAAATGTTGCCCTGCTCTATTGTATTCCTGATAAACTAACTAACGACCTGCAGGGATCCAGCCCTGCAACATTTATGGTACCTGCATCATATATCCTTTATATTGATAGCCTGTAAGACACAGACCGCAGTACAACTTTTGATGTTAACTGACACAACGCTAAACGGATCAGCTTACCGGTATTTACAGGGGCTTGTCACATTTCATTTGCTTCCCCATATCTCGTATCGTGACCTAAGGAAAAACAGGTTATGTAAAAGTAGAAAACGCTTTGAAGAAGATTTTACCATATGCTATAATGAAGAGCGAAAGAAATCTCTTCTGTTTAGATTTGCTTTTTTGAACTTTTAGCGCAGGTTTTTGGTAATTGTTCGTTTAGCCTGTCGATACCACTAATACAAGGGAGAAGGTAATGCACTTTGTTTCATAAAGCGACTCATAAATATGTATCCCTTCACGTACCTTCGAAGAACAACACAGTGCATTCTAATTAAAGACTTTAGAAGTACATTACATATATTATTATTTGTGTATATAGCTATTTAACAATGATTAAACATGAACATGTATATTTAGCGCTTTAAAAGTACATATTTTAATCATATAGGGCACTAAATACATATGACACTTCGAGTAAATGAGTTAACACGAAGCTGGCAAATCAGGAAGAGATCCTTGAGGTTTACAGTGATATATTAGGGTTTAGGGAACAGACTGCTAAGGGAGTGATTTTGTTACCCGTGCATGACGTCACAGTGACACGAATGAATAATCACGAAATATGTGTAAACGTCATGTCATGATAAGTAATTTTAATGTTCTGTGACGACAATTTCATGGCGGTTTCGATTTTTTAATAAAGTATTAAAATCAACGCGATAGTTACAATGGTAACAATTTGTTTTAACTTGGTGATAATTTTACCTAAGGAAATGTGAAGCTTTGTACTTATTCGATACCTTAGGAAATGTGAAACTTTGTACTTATTCGATACCTTAGGAAATGTGAAGCTTTGTACTTATTCGATACCTTAGGAAATGTGAAGCTTTGTACTTATTTGATAGTTTAGGAAATGTGAAGCTTTGTACTTATATGATACCTTATGAAATGTGAAGCTTTGTAATTATTTGATACCTTATGAAATGGGTAGCTTTGTACTTATTTGCACCGTCACAGAGTACGATATATTTGCTTTTATCAGGGATGAAAAAAAAGAAGCTCAAAATCATGAAAATTTCTTGCTATGATGTTCTTAATTTGTCACGTCGAACGATTAGATTTCTTATACAATTGGTGAAATCGAACAATACTTCAAATCATGGTACACAATACTTTACCATCTCCGGTGCCCCTAGCATCCAGTGCCTGTCTATAACTAACAAGGTTCCGGAAATTATTGATCCAGTCTGACAAGAAATTTTCTCTAAGCATCCGGAACAACTTTTTTAAACAGTTGTGATGCTACATACTGTTGAGATTGTACATGCCATTGTTACGTAATCACAGACATTTTAAAAAACCTAGGCAGACTACGCGACACATAACAAGTATCATTTAGTGTTAAAACACCGTTTGCGTTGGCAAGGTCTCATCCGGAGTCGTGCTTCATTACCAACTCGGGAAAGGTTTTGAGCTGATAATTTCTGATTTCGATTATGTAATGATTGTGGGAAAATTCCGATTTGTATTCTAGAGAAACCTATCACGATTTAGGCAAGATCCATTTGGCACATAATAACGTGTTGCTTTGTTTGTGTTTTTTTGCTTCTTTCCAAACGTCAGTCTGGTATCGTTCTAAGCTTTTGTCGTAATTATGTGTAATTGAATTGTTTGTCATTTTGTCTAATTGCCCGGTAATTTACTCCTTACAATTTATTTCACGTGTGGGTTTTTTGATAAATTTGTAAAGAAGCTGCAATTTCTTGGTTTTAAGATATTATGAATTAACTAAAACAGACATATATTGATACTTTTTTTGTAGCCGATCGAATTTATTTCAAACATTATTATATCTGATATGTCTTGTGGGGCGTTTCATTACGATTTATCCTACCAATTATAAAATGTTCACTATTTTGCTTACTTGATATGTAAGCGGTTGTGTATTGTTAATATTGTTTATAGGTAGTTGTATGTGATTGAGAATTGTTAAAGGTAGTTTTGTACTAAACGGGAAGTAAAGAGTTGCTGTTTGTCTGAATATGATACCCATGGGTCCTCGAAAATAAGTAACCTCCTTTTCCACCTAAACGGCTGGATTGTAAAGGACCAGAATACATTAACAATTACGTTTATGAAATATCCAATCTCTCATCGACCCCAAATGTTGGACAGTTGTGTACGTGGAACAGATTAGTTAACGAGACTCGGTTCTATCCAAATAATACACAAACTGCTAATTTTAATATGACAATCAAACCCATTTCGATGTTCCTACCTCTTGCAAAACTTATTAAAAAATATTACGCCACCAGACACAGATACGCGTATACATGTTCTTGTTGTAACAGGCATTGACATTATTAAGTATTAGGGAAAGTATACACTACTATGCCAATTGTAATCGGATTTAAACTATTCCTATTAACTCTACCCGGTGGGCATTGCATTCATTGTACCGCGAAGATTAACTGTGTTATATTCATAACCTGCTCAGTGCCAGGTGACAACGTACAATACGAACACATGTGAACTACACAGACTCAAAATCATGCATGTGGTTTGCATGAGTGTGACGATAGGTTCACCATATACTGTTCAGTAAGTTTAATGGGTTAGTGAACACCAATACAGAATTTGCTTTCTCAATCAGCATAAGAAGTAAGATATAAGCCTCAAACTGTCTAAAGGGCCTCGATAGATGTCCTTTCTCTCACTTATGGGACAGTTTCCGGGTCCTATCCGTAACCTATACAACTATCTGGTACTACGATGACTTGATTTGTGTCAGCTAGATTTACGGAGCCCCACTGTAATTGCGGGGTCAACGGTGGAAACATGTATCTGGTCATCAGCGAGGATGTTGGGGGTATCTATTGTAATTTAAAAAAATGTCAGGACTTTATACATTATCTTCCAATTTTATACATTGTTATTTCGTTTCATCTGATTGCTGTAGATATCCAGTTCAGAGGGCACTATACGAAATAATGACACTGATTTCCAGAAAATCTAAGTATGCTGGAACTTACGTTTTGGGCACATAGATTATTGATGTCATTTGTAAAGTGATCAAATAGGATATATATTTAAATAGAGGTCAGCAATTTCGCCGTGTACATTGCAAGTTGTTTGATATTTTTGAAAAACAAACGATTGAAAGAAGGTTAAAGGTACCCCTGCATTAGTTGTAATTACAAAGAAGAGTTCCGTTTTTCACTTGTAGGATTCTCCCAATGAAAGGATGAAGGTGAAGATAAAGAAAGAAGTTTCCTGGCTAAAGTGACCTCACTGCTTGGACAGTTCTTGTATAGAAGCGATGGTAGTGTCTAGGCCTTGTAATGTAAAGATCCCGACTTCAGCCGCTCCATTGTTCTTGTTTCTTATTTTTAATTTCTGTATTCAAACATTCAAAAACAATGATGTACAAATGCATGGCGAAATGACATTTTTATTGAATATTTCCTTTAAAATGATCTTAAGCAAATATTTATGATTAGTGATAACGGTAATGCTATAGTTAGAATTGATGCTACCTATTTACCTTAATTTGAGATCATCTCATCATTTATTCGTAATTGTACAGCGGCATTGATATTTTGGTTTTTATAAATATGCTGTCTCGTATATATTTAGCATGGACTCTACCCGGAAACATTGCACAGTTAGTACAATCGAACATAGGATCGTGACAAGAAAATGTTAAGAAAGATTCATTAAATGAAGTCTGGTTTGATTGCTACGTTAAAGAACTATATTCACTGTATGCTTTGTTGAAATACAAAAACAAATTGCTATTACGTGTTAATACTCATGTTTTTGCAAAAATAAAATCGTTTTTAAAACTTTATTTCGATCTATGTATATATAGATAAAAAATGTTCGAAATGGCAACGGATTTCGATATATTTATGCACTCGTAAGTACATCTCATTATTATATAATAATTGTTATACAACAATCCTTGTAAGCTGTTCTATTCAATCATATTTTCTCGTACGAAATGCACGCCTGCAGGTGGGGGATCGGGAAAGGAATACACCTGCTGTTACCCACTGCATGTATCGTAGGGGGCGACTAATGTTGGAAACCCCCTGCAGAATTGGGGATTTACTTCGGTGTCCTCTGTTTGGAGACACAAAAGTGACTAAAATAAATCTGCTGCGCCCATTGTAATATTTGGGATCTTTATTTGTTTCTACTTCTAACTACCTTTTATTTTCTAGCGCCTTAACTTGGCAACACCTCACTTTTGGCTTGTATGTTGAGCGTTCGCTCAGGCGAGGAAGGCAATAGGTTCTGTCCCCAGGCCGGGACATACCAAAGGCCTTATAAATGGTAGTTGTTATTCCCTGCTTAATGTTCAGCATTAAGGGGGATGCCAACAACTGGTTCACCTGTTGTTAGTATAATGTGACCGGGCGGAATGCTGTGCTTGGGGCCTTTGGCATGGCATTTCAGCGAGATAGCACTTTTAAGTCGGCATCAGAACTGCGCTATCACAAGGAGTCAAGAACACAAATATACCCTTATATACCCTGTATACACACACGCAAGCGCGCATACACTACACACATGGAGGCTTGTCCTTAAATGACCTTAGCTGTTCATAGGAAGTTCAAGAAAATAATTTTACAAAACAAAACCAAAACCACATACGAAATGAAAATAAATTACCGTGATTTGATTATGCTTTCAATTAAACACTTTAATACAAAATAATAACTTTATTTTCAATCTAATTTTCAACTCATTTTGATATAAGTACATGTTTATTCAGCATGTTAAACCGAGTTCGGCATGTCACTTTGTTATTAAAGGGGGGTAACACCTAATACAATCCGACATATTCATCAACTCATATTATAAATAACTGAGTATGTATTTAGCAAGTCAAATATCAAAGTGGGTTACACCTATTACAATATGATAAATGCGTCACATCAAAAAATATCAATTATGTTCATGTATGATTTTTTGTTCAAGTATGAGATAATTTCAATGATACAAATTAAATCAAAGGAAGAAATATTTTAGCATCACAACTCACTCCTTACTTAACAGACATACACTTCCGTAAAAACAGAGGCGCGGACTAATAGTTATTTATTTCTGTTTGTGTTGATACATCTTTGTTACACTTTATTAAAATAAGTTTTAGATGCCTTGGCATATTCCTCAAATGATTTTCCTCCAAGTATACTGCGTATGGCAGCATAGGCGTAAAACATTCTGTAACGAAAACAAAAATATTCTTGTAATATCAGGATTATAGTACAGATGTTCAACTTCCGACAAAAAAGAAATCTCGAAATGTAAAACAAACGTCACGGGTTGTAATATGAAATTATCTAAAGTTAAGATAGTGTCACTATAAAATTGTGCCTCATTAGGATTGAGTTATAATTCATCATATTAATATATTGTCCCAAATAGATAATTTAACAATTGATGAAAATTCTACATAAGCCATTGCAACATTAAGATAACAGTACCGTGGCTAAACACATAATATGTAATTTGTGAACACGATTTACTCTTTATATTGAATAAAAACAAGTTTTAACATTTTCTTTTTAGTGATAAAGAACGCGTTTTATGTTTTATGATTGATATGACTCTATGTCACTCTCGGTGACGATGACATGATTAAATTTAACCATTCATTGCTTTAACGAAAAAACACGTCCTTAATGAAAACTGTTTGCCCCTTTTCAATTTCTTACCCTTGTTTAAATAAAAAGAAGCGCTCCTTGACGAAGGCAATGAAACCATCCAAGGACCATTGCGGTCCTATTGGGTTCGCTTTCTGTGCTTTATCCTCAGCTATCCTTTGGTCGAATGAATATATATCCTTGTCCCCTTTAAACTCCTTCATACGTTCTCCGTCGGGATCTACAGAGTCATTGTAGAGATTGTTCAAATAGAAACGTCGGGTAATACTAAAGATGACGGAAACTATTTATCTATATGTTATACGCCACAGAGACCAGAATGGTTTGAATGCGAAGATCGATGGAGGCAAGTATAACCGGAAGTAAAATTATATAATTTGCTTCTCACTACTATGTTAGTACACAGCTTTATAACCTTCTTATCATAAAATGATTGTTACAGTATGTAAACCTTTAAAAGACGTGATAAACAGTTCGTGACATGATGCCCCGTTCCTATTCTCCCATGATAAACTGAATTATTTGTATACCTCCATCAGTCTACATAGATATTATGTATTAAACATCTTGTTGGATAAAAGTACAAACCTTCGCCATTTTCTTTTGCTTCTACTGCCTTTAAGTACCTGCTGAACTTCATATCCAAAGGCCTACTGATACTGATGTAAGACGGTACGTCAGAGACTGTGTGGACTAGAAACTGTTCTCTCGGTGGAAGCTGAGAATCAGTTATGTATATTATTACGTAAGGCACACACAATCTGTCTGCATATGTCATATACATCAAAGATAAAAATGTCGCTGCAAAAGTTCCGAAGTTAAATAAGACACTTTCAGTAATCGAGGCAAAACACTCTTTTTTTAGGCAGTTTACACTAAAATAATTCTTTACATTGATATTTACCAATAATAGCAGGATAAATTACTGTAGTAGGTGTCCAGACAATTATAATTCTGCGAATTGTTCACTATTAATTCCCGTGTAACGTTAATCAAAATGACCACAATAACAAGATTTCCCGAATATATATTCTTTTTATAAAACAACGTCTACATCCGAATCACTGTATCACAGTTTAAAGAGGGTTTAATTATGCATTGAAAATAAAACATTTTTTGTAATAATTAGTTATCATATTTACCAGATACGACTCTCCATCCTCTAGCGTGACGTTATGGGATAAAACAGGATCCTCAATAATAACCTTCCCTTTCAATATTCCTATTGTAAAGTTCGACTTATTGTTTATTTCAATTTCATCTGTGTACCCTTTAAAAAATATATCGTATATATCAGTATTTATAACATATCAATAATATTTGAATAGATTATAATAAATCATAATAGTCTTATAATTTATATGTTTAAAAAAACCCGCATATATATGAATAACTTAGTCCAGTTATCACTTACTTGAAGTATGAAATTGAGCGATTACCAGTTCATTTTTCGCATACTCTGTCTATTACCAAATTTTATAATTGCAATCATACGTTTGTGTCTTACTACATTAGTGTTGTATAGAACAGCACAACCATGACAGCCCGATACATTCGCCATGTCATTGAGAATTGGTTTTCGTTTCGCAATTTTGTTTCATGCACTGGTTGCATACAACCACAAATGAAGCTATAATCACATGTTATATTTTTCTCTGAAAAAATATATACAGGGTCAATCTTAAAAGAGTTGATAATGTGTACAAATGTGTATTGTTTTCCCTGGCGATCCTCCAAGATTTTCACACATATGAAATAATATTGGAACAAGTTTAAAGTTCCTTTCATCAGATACATCATAAAATAATCCTTACTAATACATTGTTGCTTGTGGCGTCATAATAATGGTGTCACTTATGTCATGTTTCAACACTTTTTTAATGTTTATTGTGCAGTATTTAAGCTTGAGCATGTACTGCATTTATAATTTATATAGAGATAATCGAAATACAAAAACGTTATAAATACTAGAGGCGGGTGTATTTTGAACACAGTGAAACATAATTAAAGACACACGCTGGCAAACCTAAATATTCAACTACGTCAGTTTTCCTGTTAACATATGTGTTAAGGGTAGTTTCTAACCTGGAAGATCTGATTGGAATCTAAAGGCAGTTTCGTTGAATTCTTCAATCATTTCAAACTTCTTTTTCCGCATTTCCCAGTAATCTGGTAGTGGTGGAAACACCCAGTCCGTTTTTGAGAACAGATTCCACTCTGCAGTCAGCATGTCCTTGTTAGGGTCGTACAGTCTGGTAAAATGGAAACACTGAACGTTGTGATTTAAACAAATTATACAGTAAAAGAATATTCCTTTACGAATTGAAGATATTTCTCTGAACTTGTTTTCTTTTTGAAGATAGTGAGCATGCAGTCACGTTCGTTACACAACTGATCAGCATGATTGTTCGTTTATCTGCTGATGCTATTAGTTGTATTTAATAGCTCTTTATTTGTGTTAAATGATATTAAACCTTATATTTAAAAAAAATAAAGATGCGTGACATGATGGGTTTTTTTTCTTCTAAATATTGCAAACATGTAAAAATGTAAAAACTGAAACAGTAAATACATTGAATACTATATATGATATGATACACAACAGATACGTTCATTAATTTAATGCTACAAATATTTAATAATTTACAATGTTTAAACAGCATATAACATATATATGGAAGATTTAACCACCTTCCTGTGTAAGTCAAAAAGAATCTTAAGAAGTATGTAGTTGAAACATGTCAGCAGCTTGGAAGGGAAAACAGACCACTTTAAAACGCTACAGGTATTGGCAAACTTTGAACGAGCATCCCTAAACGACAAGGGATCTATTTCACGAGCAACTAGTAAGAGAAAATAGTTAATACATAATTTATATAAACGGGGGTAAATAATTGATTTCTAGATCTTGTCGGTGATGCTAGGATAAAAGTTGGGAATCAAAATAGTCTAAATCATTGTTGAAACAGAGGGACAGGTGTTCATTTCAAATTGAATATAATTAGTAAATTGTATATATTACGAACCATGCCATTACTCAAAAATAAATCACTTTGGCCAGCAAGGTACGTAACAGCTTAAACTTTCCTTAAGCAACACGTAATGGTAAACAATTTACGTTACATAAGAAACATAAGACTTATTCAAATAGGAATTTTATATTTTAAAAACTCTTATATAGAATAAGAAGAAAATCGACTAACCTGCGCCTAACTCGACTGTTAACTTTAACCCATATGTCGTATGTAATAGCGAAGGTTCCTGCCAATGAGCCGTCGTCGTCCACCTTCCGGGCTAGACATTTGGTAAACTGGAGCAACATAGATGGGTTGTAAGCCCACCGGCTACTTTCGCTTTTGTTGGTAACCTAGTAGTATTCAATATAACTTAATCTAATTATGGTATTTCTAATGCTGAATTTAGAAAAAAAACAGCATGACAGACGGTTTTACCATAATAAGCTATTATTATTTTATTATTCAAATTTTAGAATAAACACGGAACATGTCAGCTGTCTACATCACTAAGTACAATAAGAATGTTTGATATAAATAATAATGATAATAATAATATACAACATTTATATAGCGCCCTATATAATTGGTATAATTACTCTAAAGCGCTTTACAACATATGAATAATAGTAATGGTTATAATTGTGAAAAAAACAAAGGTTTGCAATCACTTTCATACACTTAAGCATTTTTTTAGAAGTATTTTGTATAACATAATGTGATTATTAATCTCGATACCAATTTTGAAACATCCGTTTCTTCTCCCGTTTCCAGATCGCGTATGTATATTTTGATGTATGGATCAGGATAGTATATCATCATGTTCCAGCTGTATCCATATAGCCCACCTACACCATTGTCCAGTCCCTGTATAATAAAACATATAAACAGGTCTCAATCGTGTATAAAACAGTTTACAAATATCTTTACGTCTAAAATTAAAACAAATATAATTCGAGATACATTGTATTTGTAATGTATTATAGATATGTATTTACTTTTTTATTTATATACTTTTTATATATATTATGTTTTTTGTTTTATAACGCGTCCATTATTTGACGCCAATTTCAAATTATCTAATTTACCAGTAGTGGTGAGGGAGGACGTGGTCATATGTATAAAAATATGTTTGAATAAGGATAATTATAGCATTGATTTACTTAAAATGTATTTATCATAACATTTGATAAGTGTATTTGATACTCACAAATCAATCGATAATCATTTATAACTGTTCAGTGTCTAATTAAGCTATCAAATGTTCCTAATAGGACAAGCTTATTGAAGTTTAGTTTAAACTTTGTTTTATTCAAGTTACATGTATGATTAATGAATATAAATGCACGGAAAACAGAAACAAGTGTTGCTGCATCTATTTGAATATGTTACCGTATATCGTAACCAACATTAATTAATTAACAACTATACCTGCAGGGACAGTGACGTAAATATATATATACATGTATATTACAGCGTTACGAGTTAAGGCATACCTGTATTCTAATTTTAACGAAAATATATGATAAAAAAGTAAAGGATGATTTCTTTACCTTAAATACTCCGAAGGAAAACGGTAGAAACAATTGTTCGGCAATGTAGATGAAAACAAAGAAGACACTGATTATATGGTAAGGACCTGCTTGTGTTGGTCTGTTCTTTGTGGTGTCGTCATGGCGGTAAGTGGGGGTAGTCTGCTTCCTATTTTTTTTACCGTCATAATTCTTGTACAATCAAAAGCAAAAAATTGGTAGACATTAGATAGAAGTTTGCATTTAAACCAGAAAAACGACTTTGGTGTTCTATATATGTAGATATTTGAGTATCATGTAATATTTCTATCTTAATGAAACTCCAAAAAAACATTTGTTAATATTCAAAATAAAATATCAATGAGTAGGATCTTGAGAATAAGCTTTGACTATCATGATGTGTGAGTGTTTGTTAATTTTTCTTGAATACACAATTCACATATCTTAACCTTTTTCCACTTATGTTTTTACGATTGTTTATAACAACACACACACATACAAATACACATTTATCAAAATACTGTTACACATCACTATACCCGTTCGCTTTCCGATTCCGATTTGGCGGCGTCTTTTGTATAGAGACAATGAGGACTGCTCAAGAAAGAGGTTGGACTACGCCAAGTCGCAATTTTATTAATGATCTTCCGGGGCCAATCCGGATAACAAAATACAGTCAAGGTAGCCATGCCTATGAAAGGAAACATACCTGCAAAAGACATATATGAAAGATAGCATGATTACTTAAAATTAGTTATATTTACATTTTACAAAGACTTCCAAGTAAGATAATAGTAATTGTTATATAAATGAACCGTTTTGAACATTTTACAGAAGAACATCAGTGCAAAACTCGAACTGGTCATGGACTCATATTCAAAACTCCAACACTCAGATACGTCACGCGTTCTCTGTTTGAGTTCGACTTTAGCGGGAACGGTATTTGTCTTACATATCTTATTTTAACGAGTTGATATCAAAATGAATATTATATTATTATTACTATTATTATTATTATTATTATTTTTATTATTATTATGACCGAAACAAACCGGAAGCATTGCACATTATGATAAAACATGTTTAAACATTCATTTAAGTTAGCGTAACATCGTGGGGTAATATGTATTTTCAACATGTTGTGATAAAGTCCGTTAAAGTATTTAATATATTCGATCATTTCGCTGGTGTTTAGAATTCGCGGATATTAGTCAAAGCACGAATATAGCGAAATATAACCGTTATACAGTAACAATAGTAATTCGATATCAGAGGAATAATATCGTTATAGTTAACATAATATGTCATGTGATACATATTTAAAAGGAGATATAAAAGCAGTTTTTAAGTTATATCTTCATCCGCTTTCACTTATGCTTTTTTTCTGTTCATTGTATTCATGGTAAATATGTCACTTGAAATTTAAAATTATCATTATCGTCAGTTTAGCTACCAAATAACACTGAACTTAACGTACCTATACTGTATATTTGAGAGTTCATAGCATGAAAGGACAGACCCACAATCAGGCCAAACACTCTTGTTTTATCAAAGAAAAGTAAGAAGCCAAGGGTCAGGTCAAGTAGAAATCCGATCCAGTGAATGATAAACAGATCAATATGGCTGTTCGTCAGAAATGGTCTGAAAAAATAGACCAGAAATATTACATTATCATAACTGTGACACATTATTTAGTTCGTTCAGATTTCACCAACAAGATTACCAAAAGCTGTATGATACCATCACCCTACTTATATCAGGCCCCTAATTATATCAGGCACTACCCAATGCATTATCTTCCCTTGAATGATGTCATTATCATTGATTACTACAGTACATTTCTTTAAATGGGGAGTACCTTTTGGGTGGATTTTCCATATACGGCACTGCCGATTGTATAACCTCCCCTGAATAAGGTCATACTTAATATATATCGTCTCACTGAATCAGGCACTGATTTTTGTAGTTATTTCCATTAAATAAGTTACCTACGTTAGCATAATTTCCACTTTAAAATAATATACTGTTTATCATATTTTTTTACTGGCATACGGTTTTTTTCTACAGTGTATGTATATTCATTTCGAAACACTATTTACTTTATATATACATGTACAGTTCGAAACGTTATTTACCTAAAAATATCGAAAACCCAATGTCCAGATGCGAGTCTTTGTGACCACCCGTACAACCATTCAGGATCAATTTTCTTAATTCCAGCACAGAAATATAGTATGAATACCTTGAAAAGAAAAAAGACACATTTTTACTACTTATTTCATTGTGCTACTGTTCCTTGCAATCATGATAATCTACATTTAGTTAAATTTAGAAATAATCACGAGTTGGGTAACCTTACTTTATACATTAACTTGCAAAATCATAATTTAAGGATCCATTCAGTGAGAAATAGTTTGATTCGAGAGAAATTATGTATGACATGTGTGCCTCGGGGCCCTGTTAATAAGTTTCATGATAATCCAACCCCAAATGAGATACCTAGAAAAATGGCAAGTTATATTCAGTTTTAGTAACCTTGACCTGTAGTATAAATGCTGAAATATTATAATTACTATGGTAATCAAGGTCTATAGAAATATTTTGGCTATCAAATCACAAGACAAGATAAGACGGTAGAAAGATGAGGTAACTAAATAATGACTTTAAAGATGACCCTCGTCATGCGGTAAAATGCCAAAGCGAATACATTGGAAGCTTACTCGGTAGTATATCCTTGTGTTCCATTATGTCATGGCAGGGACATACATATGAAAATATTTTCCCCTTCAATTTACAATTTTCGTGACATTTATTTCAAATTAACATTAATTTTACATGCATTTGCTTATAGTTTATATTGCATTCTGAAAAAACATGAATTTATTTGTTAAGAACAAGAACGAACTATTTCAAACACGTGTCATTTCTTAAGGCATTTGATAGATTAAATGCACCTACCTGAAATCGCATGACTGTATAATTCCATAAGGGTACTTCTTGATTCCTCAGTTTTGGCCATATCAAACTGTCAACTGACCTGTGAGTAAAAAAATAATATTTTCATAATGTCTCATGAATCTCATTATGATAATTAATTTCAGGATACCATGGAGATTGTAACAAGAAGAAAAACTAATATTACCTATACTATTTAATACGAAAATGTTGACATTATAAAGGGGTTTGACGATGCATCGCTGGAGACGCAGACGTGTAAACAATGTAAAAAATGAAAAAAGGTTTGAAATACACCGGCAGCAATTGGGGTTGCAAATTCAACGAAACACATGATATCAAGTTTCTATTTGGAATTATACTTACTATAAGTCTAACCAACCAGTAATGTTTCGAACAGGCTGCCAAAATATTATAAATGTATGAGATCCATTAATTTATGTAAAGTGAATAGCAATTTCATATTTCTTAATTTGTTTTATTTAAATAATTATTTTGTTTTTGTTGAAGGGGAAAACATTATTTTATTAACTTAAACAGCTGTCCATTCGTGACTTACCAATATCTGTTCCCATCGGTAACTAAGAGAAGGAAGGCAAGCAGTCCAAATAGGTAGGAGTGGTTGTTCCAAACAGAACTGTCCAGTAGTATCATGTACCAGTATATAGCAGTAAAAATAAATAGGCACCAACGGTACAAAAACCCGAACATGATACCTACTGTAGCTGTAAAAAAAAGAATGATACCTACCTTAGCATAACCTAAGTAACATGGTACTTAAAGCATCTTAAAAAGTAGCTCACAGTAGATACATATATAACGTAGCAACATGATGCCTACAGTTAAAAAGTGATAAAGGTCATATGAAACCTGTGGTTGTCGTAAACAGTAGCATTGATACCCACAAAAACTAGAACGTAGTAACATAATAATACAGAAACTACAACATAATAACATGATACTTACGGTAGACATGACAGTAGTAACAAAATATACAGTGTCTATAATGAAGTAACATAATACCTAAAATAGCTATAAAGTAGTAACGTGATACTGCAGTAACTACAACATAGTAAAATGATAACTACGGTAGACAAAAAGAAGTAACATGATAATGTAGTAACATAATATCCACAATAACTGCTCCGAAATAATGTGATACCTTCAGTAGCTGTGAAATGCTATGTATCACCTACTGCATACAGTAGCATGCTACATGTACTTGTAATAACTATACGAAAATGTGCCCCACTATGATATCTCAAATACAAAACCAAATCATATTACATATAAAGAGTTGCAGAGGATATCATACAGTTAAACATTACAGTTTTAATATAACTGGACTAGTTTTGATTGATGTTGAAGTTTATATTGATCACCTGAAAGGGAATTTGGTAATTGCACTCTGATTTATCGATACTATGTCGATCTTTTGTTATGACGCAAACAACTTCGACATATATAGGATTCAATGGATATGTTTTGATGAAACGGATGGACACACCAAACCTTGTTTTTTTTAATGGTTGGTTGCTATCCAAGATAAATGAAGACCAGTGCTAAGTGGGACATCGCTGAAAGGATGTGGTAGGTAGGCAGTTACAGGAAGACATACAAGTAGGAGTCCTTAGTGTTACAATGTGGACAGCACGTCGGTTTAACGTTCAACTAGGAGACCATAAAGACCATTCTTTACGACAACCACATTATAATATCACGCAGATGGAAAAAGCAGGTATGTATATTCATATATATAATTGAGGAAAAAAGGTAAAAGTATCAAAAATTGTATGAGTATAACCTTTACAGCAGATATAGGAAAGTTAACTGAAATCCAGGAATATTTACGAGAAACTGTATAAACGGCAAAACAAATCATATCTGTATATACTAAATGAAGAAAACAAATCTTTACATTGCCCATTGCCTCAGTTTTACAACCGTCCCTTAATTTTCTCATTGGAAAATATTGCAAAAGTAAAGGAAACTTTTATAAGTTGAAAAATGTTCTCACCATGCTTTTCAATGGAGGAAGGTATGAAATCTAAGAAAGTAAGTATTTTTAGTGATTATGTAATAGGCAGGATGATAGACCATTGCAGCGATTGACCATGATCTGATGTTTTTATATTTTTTTTTTTTTTTTTTGATGACTATTACTAATATTTGTATCAGGATAAGAATACTTAATATACAATATGTTTGTTTATGAATTCAGTATAAGACAATGTGAAATACCTAACAGCATAACGAAGTACAACAGGTACATCCACGCTACTGACAGAGGTGTGAGGAAATCGAACAGAGGAGAGAAGCATTTGTCTGGAGCCCACCGTCTGTAGGCTTGATGGCCCATCCCTCTCTCCTCAAGGGTATCAATCATCAACAGAAGACCTGTAGATAAAAATACTGAGAATCAAACTCGTTATTTGTATTTATGGTTCACCACATTCATATTCTAACATTTGATATATACAGCTAAGGTAAATATGTATGTATTGTGTTCTTTACGACTCAATAGCACAGAGGAAGTATTTAGGGCCAATAAAAGGGAGTTAAACACGTAAAAAAAATGACATCAATAAAACTTAAAGAATGAATGACAAATGTCAACTTAAAAAGCAAAAGTGTTTATGGTAAGTTATATCTTTTTGAGCAGATCAACAGTTTTTAGTTAGGTTATAATTGTTGTGATATTCACTGTTTCGCAGAGATTTTTGAGATTTGTAATATTAATATAAAAATTGTTCTTGTATTGGCTGAATGTCAATGCAATCTAACAATAAGTGCTTCACTGTAAACGGTTCGTGACATGCTGAGGTAAGTGTACTATTATGTTATGCTGAGTCATCTTCTATGAAGGAGAAGTTTTAAGTCGGTTAAAACCAGCGCTAACGTAACCCATTTCTTCGCGATTAAACAATATTAGTTGTGCAATTGTACCCATTGCCTTAATCGTGTGTGCAATATGATTGGTTGAAATACATATTGTATGGCTCTAGATTGATTATACGCCTGATCAGTGGTGTATTGCGTATACTTTATAATTGATGTATGCTAACATCTTTAAAAGTGACCTGATTAGCATGGAATCCAATGCTTAAGTTTGAAAAGATCACCAAAGGAATTCCATATTTTTTATCAGGGAGGGAGACTGAAAAACAATGAAAACGGTTTGTCATTACATGACCATTCAAATTTCTAACAATAACACTATAACATGAAAAAATACTTGAAAAACTACGAATATTTTACCATAAAGAAACCGAAGAATTCCAAGAGCTGCTGGATCCGTTGGCCGGCATAGTAACCTTACAATAGAATTCCATGAAGTTAGGTCTCGGAAGGCAAAACCAAAAATCTGTCTCTGATGACTTTCCTTGGTATCTACTGACACGTCGGTGACCGTTCCATTGCTCTTTCTTGAACCATCACTTCGAATTTGGTTTTCTGTTGTTTTTCTCCTTGTCACAGATGCCATTACTCTGCTTTGTTACTGGTATTTAAATATCAAGAACGGTCATACTTATATTTTGAAACACAAGCACATATAAGCTGTGGTCGTAATACGTGTGTTTACACTTGGCACAGGTGAACGAAGGTTTGATTTGTGTGAGAGTACCTATGTCGACAAAACCATCAATCACCTATCCCCCTACGGTACGTACACGTGTGTTATTAGCCTGGAGTTGTACAAGTGAACGGCTGGATAATATTTAAATTTATGTTTAAGGGTTTTAAACTGTTCCGATGATTGACGAGTTTTCTTCTTTCAAGTTGGTCCATAACTTTATACAAACTTTACATTGCTAAAACGTAAAAATATTTAAGCTTGAACAAACTATTTTATCATTTGTATATTTTAGTGACTGTTTAGTGCAGTAACACTTTACTCAATGTCGATGTTATTATTCCTGTTAGCTGACGGGTGTTGTATAACAGGAAGTATGGGTTGTGTCTAATGCCTGATTCCATAACTGTTCTTATGAGTTCGTTCGTCGGCCATTGGACCACTAGTGTATTGACTGGTTCATTGTACGAGTATATTTTACGTACTTCCTTGTAAAGTCATATAAACCCATATATATAATATTTACCAAACAACATACAGTCAGCTTACATACAATCTACATACTCAGAAAGGATTTGCAATAAATATTTATTCTTCCATAAAAGTAAAATACGTTTTATTTTAACAAAACATTAAATACAAATTAATGAATTGAGTCAGAAAATTAATGCAATGAACAAAAAGGAAAATACGACAGAAGCAAGGTATACACATACAGAAATACGAAACACATTATGAAGACAATGAATGAAAGCAAAACGAGGTATTCATAAATTTGAGGCATTTTTTAACTCAGAAAAGCGTATTGATCGCCAACGGTCAAAGACCCATTAATAAATTTTAGTCATGGTAAACGGCCGCAAAATGACCACATGGCTTTTCGACGTCGCTCTGATAGAACATCTCTGGTTACACGTATGTAGCTAACTTGTCAGTAGCATGCATGCATCCAGAAATCTTTATAAGTAAAGCAGGCGTTGTAGAACAAAATCAACCGCAGTTTATTAAATGAATAAACTCGAGTGCCTTGCATGTTATAACTAAGGAAAGGAGAACTGCTCGGAGAAGTTTTGTTACTAGCTTCCAATCTCTAAGTCTATTTAGGAATGTTTGGATTACTAGATTTTATATTTCTGTGACTTAGGAGTAATATTCCGTTATCACTTTTCTTCTACATTTAATTAGTTTGTGTTATCTAATTACTTTTTATAGGTGCAGTCAAATGTGTGTCTACCATTTCACATATGTTTACCTAAATTTATTGTGGTGGTGCTAAATTATTTCACAGCTGCATTTGTTTTCAACCTCAAATGAAGCTTTCACTATTTTCGTTATTTCTAACGTATTTAAGTACTTAAATGTTTCTCACTTAAAAATCGATTTAGAAATAGCATGTTGGTATGGGCTGGCCGTCGTATACGTGTGTGAAAGTCTGAATTATTATCCATAAGTAGGACTCGATTAAAGGTTTCCATGAAGGTTGCTGACAACTTGTCCAGGTCGCGTATTCATAGAAGTCGTTAATGTGTTATGCTTATCACAATTCATAAGGATCTAGTAGTGATCCTCCCGGAATAACAATGTCCACAAGGAAGTCAACGTGTCACCATTATAGCTCTCGGGTGATTCGGGTAGACACTGATAGAGTAGAGGTAACAAGGGGTTATTCTATAAAAGACAGTACATTAGGCATGCATTGACATAATTGAAGTTCACTTGTTGAAAACAATATTAATTTATATACCTGAACGATAAACATACAAAAATCTAATTGGCACAAAATTCAACCAAAGTTGTAGATATACTATAATAACAAGACATGACGGTTATATCCTGAGCTAATTTACATATATGAACTATGTAGTAAAACCATAGTTAGATACGTTTTAGCATTATCTCAGATAGGTTGTTGTCAGCAGACATTATAACAAGTATCACATGTGATGCAAGGAACAAAGTACACTTCAATGTAGCTTCAGGTTTGAAATCTGATTTTGTTAGTGTGATTTTACACTGTTGTGTATATTTATTTTCCATAACGATGATTATAAGCAGGGTTTGTTACTTTGTTCTTGTGTTCGAGTCAAAAATGAAATCAGGTGAGCGATAAAAAAATCGAATTGAAATTGTTCTTATTGTCTAATGTAAATTTGATTGTCTGTATTATCTCTAGCTCAATGATTTCTTTAAAACCACACAATACTGGACACATGATATCAATAACCAACAGTTGAAATTATACATAATCATTTATTGTATTTGGCAATATTACATTGTTTCGCTGAACGTATTACAGTATATGCTCAAAATGGTCTACGTGTAATATATTCAGTGAAGGGGTCTCCACCAGCGATACTTCGGATGGCTGCCATCGATATGATCAGTCTACAAAGTAATTATAATTAATAATATTATGTATCATAAATATCATATAATATGTTACAGTAGACTTTTTAAATGCTTACCGACCAATAATATTTGGTATCTATATAATGCATTGCTGTATTTGGAGAAAACAATCTCATAAAATTACTTCAATTGAGGCATTGAAAATAAGGACCCATAACAAGTAGAACTCAAATATAACCTCCAGCACACACACACGCAGGCATTCACACATACGGCTACCATATAGGGTATCACGTGGTACAATATGCTTGAGAAAGATCATGTGGTACAATATGCCTGAGTAGGCTGTTTCGATAACCTCTAGTTTTTGTTTCTCACTAATTGAATTTCAAACGCGTTGAATTATTTGCTTTTAAATCTAACAGGGCGATATTCAAATTTTCGATGCTCAAAACATATAACAATATTAATAATGTCGGAAAAAGTACCCACCCATGTTTCATAACAGCATATTTGGATTTCAGAAAGGTGATGAAAACTTGGACACTCCAATTCGAACCAATTTTTCTCACATTTGTATCTTGTCTTTCTAAAAGAAATTTAAAGCGTTGTATTTCTTTTTGGCTGAATTCCTGCAGTAGATTTCCCTCCGGATCTGCGATTAAATAAATAAACTGATTTAGAATATTCAATTATGAAAAGACTCGTTAGTTAAAATGGTATAGGGACTGTATTTGCCTGAATACCAAATTTTCTCCGTTTGATTAATCGAAAAGTTGAACAGTGAAGCGTCTCTGATGCGTTAAAACGGAGTTTTACCTAATTTGAACGATTAAATAGGTTGACAAGTATAGTATTTTTTATTGATTGTTTTAATTCATTCTTTCTATATCCCTCATACAGAGACAGGAATACACACAATGATGCATTGTTTCATTAGACTGTCTCTGTGTGTTTTACACTCATAGTAATACTCGTGAATCTTCTACTGCTAAATATGGACAGGATCTCGTTGTTTTAAGTTTCATTACTTAATAAAAGCGGACCTCATATGACCCTTGCTGTTGCTAGGACGTAAATTAAACTAAATGACATGTGAACTCAAATGTTCAAATGAGGAATCTTGGAAAAAATACGCGCAGATAAGTATAATGTTGTGTATATTATCCAAATGTAATCAGAGAGAATATCAGCCGCGTCTATTTTGATTTAAAAATAATTTAACGCATGTTTTCAATAGTGATGCCAGTATGAACGCACACTGCTAGGGCATCATGCAAATATATATGTTACCGATTTGTATTCATACCGGCATGTTGAATAAAAAATGTTGCATAATACATACATTTACATTCCCAATTTTATATCATATATATTGAACTGTTTGACCTTCCTGGAGCAGTCTATCGTCACTAAAATGTTTATATTTGCTTTTCAAGGCGGGAGGTGAATCTTCAAACTTCAAACGCATTTTTTCTGGAAATTCTAGACAGTTTCTTCTAGTGTTGCTACAAGAACTTGCAGCGGAAATGTCAATGTACAGATACATTAAACAGGATTCGTTACACGCTATGTTACGCTGATTTTCGTTTTGAATCAAAGTATATTTTGCTTTTGGTAAAGCACTTATCATATTATCAATAACTCATCTTTTACTTTTATTAGTAATAAAGCTACTGTTGTTTGTATTTACAAACCTTCACCATCTTCCTTCGCCTTCACTGCTTCTTTATACTTTTGAAACCTCGTATCATTCGACGAAATTTGTTTCGAGATAACGAAATACGACGGTTTCTTAGACACCGTGTGTAAATGGTACAGGTCACGTGGACACAACTGTAACACAAGGCAAACATACCGTAATACTTCTAATACGAGACATGGTGCATACAGTAGGAAACTTTTTTCAAATGTTTGTGATAGCGCTAGTATAGGAGAATTATTATTAGCAAACTATGAAATCGTCCGACAATTCACAAAATTTAAGACAGTAACACTGTATGATCTGTCAAGTATAATAAGGTCAATGCAATAAAAAAAAAAAATTAAGAGAGGAAATACGGTAAATTCACTTTTGATATAATCAATCCGGTTTTTTAAACAAAAAGTCAAAACTAAAACTCTGTTGTAAACAAAGCTAGAACTAAGAGTCTGGTATAATACACGGCCTCCTAGATTATTCTGGTCTAATACACGGACTCCTAGAAATATTATTCTGGTATAAAACACAGACTCCTAGATTATTCTGGTATAATACACGAACTCCTAGATTATGCTGGTATAAAACACGGACTCCTAGAACTTTTATTCTGGTATAATACACGGACTCCTAGATTATTCTGGTATAATGCACGGACTCATAGAACTATTATTCTGGTATAATACACGGACTCATAGAACTATTATACTGGTATACTACACGGACTCCTAGATTATTATGGTATAATATACGAACTCCTAGAACTATTACTCTGGTATAATACAAGGACTCCTAGATTATTCTGGTATAATGCACGGACTCATAGAACTATTATTCGGGTATAATACACGGACTCATAGAACTATTTTTCTGGTATACTACACAGACTCATCGAACTATAGTTCTGGTAAAATCCATGGACTCGTAGAAATACGACGCAGGCATATTGCACGGGCTCCTAGAACTATTATTCTTGTATAATACACGGACTCCTAGAAATACGGTAAATTTACTTTTGATATAATCAATCCGGTTTTTTAAACAAAAAGTTAAAACTAAAGTCTATTGTAAACAAAGCTAGAACTAAGAGTCTGGTATAATACACGGCCTCCTAGATTATTCTGGTTTAATACACGGACTCCTAGAAATATTATTCTGGTATAATACACGGACTCCTAGATTATTCTGGTATAATACACGGACTCCCTGAACTATCATTCTGGTATAATACACGGACTCCTAGAACTTTTATTCTGGTATAATACACGGACCCCTAGAACTATTATTCTGGTATACTACACGGACTCCTTGAACTATTATTTTGGCTTCGAATTTGGTTTTCTGTTGTTTTTCTCCTTGTTACAGATGCCATTACTCTGCTTTGTTACTGGTATTTAAATATCAAGAACGGTCATACTTATATTTTGAAACAACTGCACATATAAGCTGTGGTCGTAATACGTGTGTTTACACTTGGCACAGGTGAACGAAGGTTTGATTTGTGTGAGAGTACCTATGTCGACAAAACCATCAATCACCTATCCCCCTACGGTACGTACACGTGTGTTATTAGCCTGGATTTGTACAAGTGAACGACTGGATAATATTTAAATTTATGTTTAAGGGTTTTAAACTAGTCCGATGATTGACGAGTTTTCTTCTTTCAAGTTGGTCCATAACTTAATACAAACTTTACATTGCTAAAACGTAAAAATATTTAAGCTTGAACAAACTATTTTATCATTTGTATATTTTAGTGACTGTTTAGTGCAGTAACACTTTACTCAATGTCGATGTTATTATTCCTGTTAGCTGACGGGTGTGTATAACAGGAAGTATGGGTTGTGTCTAATGCCTGATTCCATAACTGTTCTCATGAGTTCGTTCGTCGGCCATTGGACCACTAGTGTATTGACTGGTTCAATGTACGAGTATATTTCACGTACTTCCTTGTAAAGTCATATAAACCCGTATATATAATATTTACCAAACAACATACAGTCAGCTTACATACAATCTACATACTCAGAAAGGATTTGCAATAAATATTTATTCTTCCATAAAAGTAAAATACGTTTTATTTTAACCAAACATTAAATACAAATTAATGAATTGAGTCAGAAAATTAATGCAATGAACAAAAAGGAAAATACGACTGAAACAATGCATACACATACAGAAATACGAAACACATAATGAAGACAATAAATGAAAGCAAAACGAGGTATTCATAAAATTGAGGCATTTTTTAACTCAGAAAAGCGTATTGATCGCCAACGGTCCAAGACCCATTAATAAATTTTAGTCATGGTAAACGGCCGCAAAATGACCACATGGCTTTTCGACGTCGCTCTGATAGAACATCTCTGGTTACACGTATGTAGCTAACTTGTCAGTAGCATGCATGCATCCAGAAATCTTTATAAGTAAAGCAGGCGTTGTAGAACAAAATCAACCGCGGTTTATTAAATGAATAAACTCGAGTGCCTTGCATGTTATAACTAAGGAAAAGAGAACTGCTCGGAGAAGTTTTGTTACTAGCTTCCAATCTCTAAGTCTATTTAGGAATGTTTGGATTACTAGATTTTATATTTCTGTGACTTAGGATAATATTCCGTTATCACTTTTCTTCTACATTTAATTAGTTTGTGTTATCTAATTACTTTTTATAGGTGCAGTCAAATGTGTGTCTACCATTTCACATATGTTTACTTAAATTTATTGTGGTCGTGCTAATAATTTCACAGCTGCATTTGTTTTCAACCTCAAATGAAGTTTTCACTATTTTCGTTATTTCTAACGTATTTTAGTACTTAAATGTTTCTCACTTAAAAATCGATTTAGAAATAGCATGTTGGTATGAGCTGGCCGTCGTATACGTGTGTGAAAGCCTAAATTATTATCCATAAGTAGGACTCGATTAAAGGTTTCCATGAAGGTTGCTGACAACTTGTCCTGGTCGCGTATTCATAGAAGTCGTTAATGTGTTATGCTTATCACAATTCATAAGGATCTAGTAGTGATCCTCCCGGAATAACAATGTACACAAGGAAGTCAACGTGTCACCATTATAGCTCTCGGGTGATTCGGGTAGACACTGATAGAGTAGAGGGAACAAGGGGTTATTCTATAAAAGACAGTACATTAGGCATGCATTGACATAATTGAAGTTCGCTTGTTGAAAACAATATTAAGTTATATACCTGAATGATAAACATACACAAATCTAATTGGCACAAAATTCAACCAAAGTTGTAAATATACTATAATAACAAGACATGACGGTTATATCCTGAGCTAATTTACATATATGAACTATGTAGTAAAACCATAGTTAGATACGTTTTAGCATTATCTCAGATAGGTTGTTGTCAGCAGACATTATAACAAGTATCACATGTGATGCAAGGAACAAAGTACACTTCCATGTAGCTTCAGGTTTGAAATCTGATTTTGTTAGTGTGATTTTACACTGTTGTGTATATTTATTTTCCATAACGATGATTATAAGCAGGGTTTGTTATTTTGCTCTTGTGTTCGAGTCAAAAATAAAATCAGGTGAGCGATAAAAAAAATCGAATTGAAATTGTTCTTATTCTCTAATGTAAATTTGATTGTCTGTATTATCTCTAGCTCAATGATTTCTTTACAACCACACAATACTGGACACATGATATCAATAACCAACAGTTGAAATTATACATAATCATTTATTGTATTTGGCAAAATTACATTGTTTCGCTGAACGTATTACAGTATATGCTCAAAATGGTCTACGTGTGATGTATTCAGTGAAGGGGTCTCCACCAGCGATACTTCGGATGGCTGCCATCGATATGATCAGTCTACAAAGTAATTATAATTAATAATATAATGTATCATAAATATCATATAATATGTTAGAGTAGACTCTTTAAACGCTTACCGACCAATAATATTTGGTATCGATTAAATGCATTGCTGTATTTGGAGAAAACAATCTCATAAAATTACTGCAATTGAGGCATTTAGAATAAGAACCCATAACAAGTAAACTCAAATATAACCTCCAGCACACACACACGCAGGCATTCACACATACGGCTACCATATAGGGTATCACGTGGTACAATATGCTTGAGTAGGCTGTTTCGATAACCTCTAGTTTTTGTTTCTCACTAATTGAATTTCAAACGCGTTGAATTATTTGCTTTTAAATCTAACAGGGCGCTATTCAAATTTTCGATGCTCAAAACATATAACAATATTAATAATGTCGGAAAAAGTACCCACCCATGTTTCATAACAGCATATTTGGATTTCAGAAAGGTGATGAAAACTTGGACACTCCAATTCGAACCAATTTTTCTCACATTTGTATCTTGTCTTTCTAAAAGAAATTTAAAGCGTTGTATTTCTTTTTGGCTGAATTCCTGCAGTAGTTTTCCCTCCGGATCTACGATGAAATAAATAAACTGATTTAGAATATTAAATTATGAAAAGACTCGTTAGTTAAAATGGTATAGGGACTGTATTTGCCTTAATACCAAATTTTCTCCGTTTGATTAATCGAAAAGTTGAACAGTGTAGCGTCTCTGATGCGTTAAAACGGAGTTTTACCTAATTTGAACTATTTAATTAGGTTGACATGTATAGTATTTGTCATTGATTGTTTTAATTTATTCTTTCTATATCCCACATACAGAGACAGGAATAAACACAATGCATTGTTTCAGTAGACTGTCTCTGTGTGTTTTACACTCATAGTAATACTCGTGAATCGTCTACTGCTAAATATGGACAGGATCTCGCTGTATTAAGTTTCATTACTTAATTAAAGTTGACCTTATATGACCCTTGCTGTTGCTAGGACGTAAAATAAAACTAAATGACATGTGAACTCAAATGTTCAAATGAGGAATCTGGGAAAAAATACGCGCAGATAAGCATAATGTTGTGTTTATTATCCAAATGTTATCAGAGATAATATCAGCCGCGTCTATTTTGATTTAAAAAGAATTTAACGCATGTTTCCAATAGTGATGCCAGTGTGAACGAACACCGCCAGGGCATTATGCAAATATATATGTTACCGATTTGTATTCATACCGGCATGTTGAATGAAAAATGTTGCATAATACATACATTTACATTTCCAATTTTATATTTATTATTAATTTGAAAATTCATATTTTTATATCATATATATTGAACTGTTTGACCTTCCTGGAGCAGTCTATCGTCACTAAAATGTTTGTCATTGCTTTTCAAGGCGGGAGGTGAATCTTCAAACTTCAAAAGCATTTTTTCTGGAAATTCTAGACAGTTTCTTCTAGTGTTGCTACAAGAACTTGCAGCGGGAGTGTCAATGTACAGATACATTAAACAGGATTCGTTAGAAGCTATGTTACGCTGATTTTCGTTTTGAATCAAAGTATATTTTGCTTTTGGTAAAGCACTTATCATATTATCAATAACTCACTTTTACTTTTATTAGTAATAAAGCTACTGTTGTTTGTATTTACAAACCTTCACCATCTTCCTTCGCCTCCACTGCTTCTTTATACTTTTGAAACCTCGTATCATTCGACGAAATTTGTTTCGAGATAACGAAATACGACGGTTTCTTAGACACCGTGTGTAAATGGTACAGGTCACGTGGACACAACTGTAACACAAGGCAAACATACCGTAATACTTCTAATACGAGACAAGGTGCTTCAGTAGGAAACTTTTTTCAAATGTTTGTGATAGCCCTAGTATAGGAGAATTATTATTAGCAAACTATTAAATCGTCCGACAATTCACAAAAATTAAGACAGTAACACTGTATGATCTGTCAAGTATAATAAGGTCAATGCAATAAATAAATAATTTAAGAGAGGAAATACGGTAAATTCACTTTTGATATAATCAATCCGGTTTTTTAAACAAAAAGTTAAAACTAAAACTCTGGTGTAAACAAAGCTAGAACTACGAGTCTGGTATAATACACGGCCTCCTAGATTATTCTGGTATAATACGAGGACTCCTAGAAATATTATTCTGGTATAAAACACGGACTCCTAGATTATTCTGGTATAATACACGGACTCCTAGATTATGCTGGTATAATACACGGACTCCTAGATTATTCTGGTATAATACACGGACTCCTAGATTATTCTGGTATAATACACGGACTCCTAGATTATTCTGGTATAATACACGGACTCCTAGATTATTCTGGTATAATACACGGACTCCTAGATTATTCTGGTATAATACACGGACTCCTAGATTATTCTGGTATAATACACGGACTCCTAGATTATTCTGGTATAATACACGGACTCCTAGATTATTCTGGTATAATACACGGACTCCTAGATTATTCTGGTATAATACACGGACTCCTAGATTATTCTGGTATAATACACGGACTCCTAGATTATTCTGGTATAATACACGGACTCCTAGATTATTCTGGTATAATACACGGACTCCTAGATTATTCTGGTATAATACACGGACTCCTAGATTATTCTGGTATAATACACGGACTCCTAGATTATTCTGGTATAATACACGGACTCCTAGATTATTCTGGTATAATACACGGACTCCTAGATTATTCTGGTATAATACACGGACTCCTAGATTATTCTGGTATAATACACGGACTCCTAGATTATTCTGGTATAATACACGGACTCCTAGATTATTCTGGTATAATACACGGACTCCTAGATTATTCTGGTATAATACACGGACTCCTAGATTATTCTGGTATAATACACGGACTCCTAGATTATTCTGGTATAATACACGGACTCCTAGATTATTCTGGTATAATACACGGACTCCTAGATTATTCTGGTATAATACACGGACTCCTAGATTATTCTGGTATAATACACGGACTCCTAGATTATTCTGGTATAATACACGGACTCCTAGATTATTCTGGTATAATACACGGACTCCTAGATTATTCTGGTATAATACACGGACTCCTAGATTATTCTGGTATAATACACGGACTCCTAGATTATTCTGGTATAATACACGGACTCCTAGATTATTCTGGTATAATACACGGACTCCTAGATTATTCTGGTATAATACACGGACTCCTAGATTATTCTGGTATAATACACGGACTCCTAGATTATTCTGGTATAATACACGGACTCCTAGATTATTCTGGTATAATACACGGACTCCTAGATTATTCTGGTATAATACACGGACTCCTAGATTATTCTGGTATAATACACGGACTCCTAGATTATTCTGGTATAATACACGGACTCCTAGATTATTCTGGTATAATACACGGACTCCTAGATTATTCTGGTATAATACACGGACTCCTAGATTATTCTGGTATAATACACGGACTCCTAGATTATGCTGGTATAATACACGGACTCCTAGAACTTTTATCCTGGTATAATACACGGACTCCTAGAACTATTATTCTGGTATATACACGGACTCCTAGAACTATTATTCTGGTATAATACACGGACTCCTAGATTATTCTGGTATAAAACACGGACTCCTAGAACTATTACTCTGGTATGATACACGGACTCTTAGATTATTCTGGTATAATGCACCGACTCATAGAACTATTATTCTGGTATAATACACGAACTCATAGAACTATTATTCTGGTATACTACACGGATTCCTTGAACTATAGTTCTGGTATAATCCATGGACTCTTAGAAATACGACACAGGCATATTGCACGGACTCCTAGAACTATTATTCTTCTATAATACACGGACTCCTAGAAATACGGTAAATTTACTTTTGATATAATCAATCCGATTTTTTAAACAAAAAAGTTAAAACTAAAACTCTGTTGTAAACAAAGCTAGCACTACGAGTCTGGTATAATACACGGCTTCCTATATTATTCTGGTATAATACACGGACTCCTAGATTATTCTGGTATAATACACGGCCTCCTAGATTATTCTGGTATAATACACGGACCCCTAGAAATATTATTCTGGTATAAAACACGGACTCCTAGAACTATTATGCTGGTATACTACACGGACTCCTAGAACCACTATTCTGGTATAATACACGGACCCCTAGAACTATTATTCTGGTAGACTGCACGGACTCCTTGAACTATTATTCTGGTATAATACACGGACTCCTAGAACTGTTATTCTGGTATACTACACGGACTCCTAGAACTACTATTCTGGTATAATACACGGACTCCTTGAACTATTGTTCTGGTATGCTACACGGACTCCTTGAACTTATATTCTGGTATACTGCACGGACTCCTTGAACTATTATTCTGGTATAATACACGGACTCCTAGATTATTCTGGTATAATACACGGACTCCTAGAACTATTTTTCTGGTAAACTACACGGACTCCTTGAACTATTATTCTGGTATACTACACGGATTCCTTGAACTATTATTCTGGTATAATACACGGACTCCTAGAACTATTATTCTGGTATACTACACGGACTTCTAGATTATTCTGGTATAATACACGGACTCCTTGAACTATTATTCTGGTATACTACACGGACTCCTTGAACTATTATTCTGGTATAATACACGGACTCCTAGATTATTCTGGTATACTACACGGACTCCTAGAACTCTTATTCTGGTATAATACACGGACTCCTTGATTATTCTAGTGTAATGCACGGACTCATAAAACTATTATTCTGGTATACTACACGGTCTCCTAGAACTATTATTCTGGTATAATACACGGACGCCTAGATTATTCTGGTATAATGCACGGACTCATAGAACTATTATTCTGGTATAATACACGGACTCATAGAATTATCATTCTGGTGTAATACACGGACTCATAGAACTATTATTCTGGTGTAATACACGGACTCATAGAACTATTTTTTTCTGGTATAACACACGGACTCCTAGAACTATAGTTCTGATATAATCCATGGATTCTTAGAAATACGACACAGGCATACTGCACGGACTCCTAGAACTGTTATTCTTGTATAATACACGGACTCCTAGAACTACTATTCTTGTATAATACACGGACTCCTAGAACTATTCATCTGGTATACTTCACGGACTCCTAGAACTATTGTTCTGGTATACTACACGGACTTCTAGAACTATTAGTCTGGTATAATACACGGACTCCTAGAACTATTATTCTGGTATACTACACGGACTCCTAGAACTATAGTTCTGGTATACTACACGGACTCCTAGAACTATTAGTCTGGTATAATACACGGACTCCTAGAACTATTATTCTGGTATACTACACGGACTCCTAGAACTATAGTTCTGGTATACCACACGGACTCCTTGAACAACAATTCTGGTATCAGATACCTAGTACTACAACTTTGTTATTCAGAAGAACTAAATTATATCTTTGAAGGTAATAAGTATTTGCGTAATAAATGCTTATGTCATGAATTCATAAATTTGTCTGAATGTACTGTTGACATACAAATAAGAACATAAATCGAAATAAAATGCTTTAAGGGGAAATGTATCCAATAAGAAACTATATACCAACACATATTTAATTATGTTATCCTTAAAATGGTAACAAATCAATATCAAAGCGATACACTTCTTCTTTCATACAATAAATAATGAATTAAAATAATGTACAATAGATCATTACAATCGAAAAATAAAATGAAACCATGCATAAAGACTTTGAGTATTGAAAGTAATCTCGGTTATCTGTGGGTCCAACAGAACGTCTCGGACTGAGCTAGTACTTATAATAATCAAAACGTACTGGGTACCGGACATTTTTGCCTCGTCAAATTTTCTCCCTTCAACCATGAAATCAATGTCGCCATGTGTTTATTTCGCCCTTTACATTTAAATTCTATGTTTATTATGCTATTTACTTATATTTACTGTAATGTTAGACTCGCCTTCATTACTAACGGCGAAAAGGGCGAAATTATACAACAATGGTATACAGCATTATTCTACACTTTTAACCATATCTAAACAAAAAGCAAAAATTAATGGATTATACTTATACTCATTCTAAGTAACAGCGAAATGCTTTATAAAATGGCTTGTAATTCAGAATATTAGTGTGCTTCTAGAGTGCGTTGTAGTGTATAATTCTTTAACGGCATTGGACGTAAAAAGTAAGATAAGTTTTGATTGGTAAGCCGTGATACTAACCCTCACACTTTCACCAGCATTTACAGTGACATTTGTTTTATCTGTAAGGTCCTCCAGTATTACTCTGCCTTTCAGGACTTCCAGTGTGTTGTTTACTGTCCTATCAGAGATATGGAAAGACACGTAGTATCCTGCAAGTAAAGGTAAAATTGAACAAAAATATACCTTTTTTTGCTTTATGAAGTATATTGTATCGAGAATTGTTTTATCTTTCACCATTAATATAAAAATGCTCATTCTTTAACCTGAATGGAAAAACTAGTTATAAAAGTAAAAATTTCCTCAAATTTAAGCACGCCATACTTTACTTGTCGAGTCGTTTAATAAAAACTCCAGGGTCATTATTGAAAAAAATATCCTCATTCTCAAACTATGAATCTGTGCTCAAGCCCATAGTATTAAAAGTCACTTTTTCAAAGATTTGGAATATTTTTGGGGATTTCTGAAGCTAAATGCCGTTTCTAATGTTTCAGCTGCATTTTGACTGAAACATGTTTCCTGGCGAGTTGAAACAAAATTTGATTTTACATTGAATCAATGCTTGAGCAAAGTAAAGGCTTCATGAAAACGAACCCCTGAATTACTTTTTAATCATTCTTTCTTTTTAAGAATAGTAGAACCGTACCGCGTTTTTAAATGTTTTATTCGTCTTCATACACTGTTGTTTACGTCGTTTTATCATATTTTTCCATTAAAATTCATTGGATTACTTGTGTTTCAATTGCATAACTTTGCAATGGTAATAAATGAGGAATTGTAGACATAGCATATTGAATATTTCAAATTGCTTATCTGGAAAGTCAGATTGGTATAGATTGGCGTCTACAGTTGACACATAATATTTAATATTTCACATTGCTTACCTAGAAGTCAGATAAGTTCAGATTGGCGTCTACAGTTGACACATCATATTGAATAACTCACAGTGCTTACCTGGAAAGTCAGAATGGTACATATTCGATGTTGTATCATTTTTAGCTTTATCAATACGAATTCGCTCCTGTCTCATTTCCCAAAAATCCTCTGTAACTGGCATCCACCAATCCGTTTTTGAAAATATGTTCCAATCGGCAGTCAGCATATCTTTGTTAGGATCAACAAGCCTAGCAAAATATATATATGTATTCTAGATTCATTAGGCTACCTTTGTTGACAATAAGATGGTATTGTAAAATCCTCCTGTAAAACGACCTACACCAATTTTGTTGGTAAAACCAAATAATTACTCTGTGTATTAGATCCTCTGTAGCCTACATACTTGTCTTGGTTTGGTGAGAGACATCATGCCATAAGCCACATTTAGTAGTGGATACTCTTATCCTTTCGCAACACTTAGTTTTCTAATTGATTTTCAGCAGGGACCGAAATTGAGTTCCTTCTGAATTTACGTCAACAAAAATGTGTACTCCTCAGAGAAGTTAAGGTACTACTGTATTAAACAGTTAGCCAATATGTACTTAAAAGAGAGGGAGTAAATGTAATAATAGAAAATAGGAAGTTGCCCGTTGTTTGCTTCGATCGGTCAAAGACAACAATTCAACATTTTATGTGAGTTTTTGTGCAACCTTTTAAACGTATGTTACAATGACACTTTTACTGATAAATATAATGTCTAAAGGGTGAAATTATTTGCATTGAACACTGTACATTTGTTAGGGATATCATAAATACATGTACTGTCTAAATACTTCTGAATTTTTCTTCAAACAAATGGTACCTAGATTTTTGACACTTTTTCATGCATGTTTGCTTTTAAATTTTGATCCTGATTTGTGACGTTTAATAATAACCTGTTATACCAGATCAAAATGCAATTTTGATGTGGTTTAAACCTCAGAATAGTACATTTTTAATACGTCGTTTTCTTTTTTTTTTTTTTTTTTTTTTTTTTTTTTTTTTTTTATCTCGAACGGGTTTAAGAAACGTATGCCAAATGATAATGGCCATGTATACCTCTGGTCAAATCCAAACAATCTGACAGTCGCACACAACAATATCTACCGAGAGAATACTGATTGACCTTTATACCGGAAACATTAATTCCCTCGTAATGTACTACATGACCGACAATCACTTAACATTTGCTCCGGAAACGTGCATCTGGGAAACGATGTATTACGGTATGTCTCTGTAGACTTGTGTCTCCCAAGTCACTTATTTTACAGACAAATCATTAGTGCCATCAAAACAAACAAATTTTATCTTTATGCATCGTGAATGAGTGTTTGATAAATAAAACAGCCATCATCCAGAACGTATCAGAGGTGTCAAACGTTAGCATAATGACGTCATAACTTTCGTTTTACCTTTGAAAACACAAAGTCATGGATAACTATCAGTACTTCGCATTCATTTAACAACTCAATCACACTAGAAGGCGTATAGCAAGCGTATAATTAACATTTCTGAATACAATTATAATGAGTAAATACTGGTACGCCAACTTATACCTTTGATAAAATCTTCCGTTCAGAGCCAGCTGTGCATCGTAGTTGATGGCAAAGTTGCTATGTCCTTCAGCCTCCAGTTTCCGTGCTACACACTTCGAAAACTGGACTAGCATGACTGGGGTGTACGCATATCTTCTTCCCAAAGTCAGCGGAGACGACTGAAATGAAAGTTAGAAAATTTGAAACGTATTGTAACTTCTATCTTTAAATCATTTACATCAAATCTTAATGTAAATAAAATATTACTATCATTCCTTTTCCTTAAATTTCATCTTCCCTGCGTATGCAGTTCCATTGAAAAATGTAGTTGATTGAAACTTCAAGGACCTCTTTCATGTATATATTTTTACTGATATGCCCTGTTTACCATTTAGCAAAGTAACAAGTGTTTTCTACAGTAAGGGTTTCATATTGCGCTGTGAAATGTTTAAAGTAGCGATCAGTATGTTAATGTTTACTAACATGAATGCGTTGTTTTGAACGATCAACTAAACAGTTCCATTGTGCTTATATCAGCGATAGCCTACATATGTTGCGTAATGCAACTTGAGCAACCGTCATAGCAGTTTACTGTGATGCATAAAATGCCTACACTTTTAGGGAACATTGCTTCGTAACAGCTTTCATTTGGGAAATGGTCAACTACTTAATGTCTGCCTTAAACTTTGGTGTTATATATTTCTGTTTTAACTTTTTACTGGCCACATTTGTTGGGTTTTTTATTAATATTTTCATTGGTTTTATCATTTATTTTTTTCGTTCAAATAACTCAAATTAACTTATAGGCAAGGTAATTTACTGTCGCTTGCAACAACAACAAATATGTTTTTCATAATAAATAATGAAATGCAACAAAATGGTACACTACATTGAACATATTTCCTACCAATTCAGTTATATCAAATCTCTCGCCTGTTTCAAGGTCCTTTACGTTGACGATTATGTCCACTTTGTATTTATGGATCATCATGTTCCACGTATATCCGTACAGGTCTCCTCCCCAAGTGTTCAGTCCCTATCAACACACACGTGCGGAAAGTTTAACGAAGGATCATATTCAGCAGCAGGTGCATAATACTGTAAATGACTTTATTTTCGCGTGTACGTTATCTAACAATCTATGAATATAGGATTTACTCGCGATTTTTTGAAACCACAACTCAGAAGATATTAATTTGATACAAATTGCAATCACGTATAGCATTGATATCTGCGAATGGATTAAATTTGAGAACTACCAATTATCGTGAAAATTAGTCTCTGGCGACAATAAAGTGTTTTATAATTATCATAAGGCTGTTAAAATGCTACATGTTACATAATTGTGTATTGAATACAATGTAAAAAAGAATTATCATCGAAATGATTATTATTATCATTTTTGTCAAACTTTAAGAAGACCTATCCATTATAGATGGCAATATGCGCAAGCTCTGAGAATGATAATATCTTGTTTTTGATGGCGAATAGTTCATATCCCCGAGTCTATTGTCTGTAAACATGTTTCAACTGACTCAAAAGTACAAATACACATTTACTGAAATCTTAAACAAAGGACAGAAATAGCTAATATAGTACGATTATTTGTAGACTACCTGCCTTAAAAACAACAGATGAAAACGGAAGGAACATCTGTTCTGCAGCATACAACAGAACAAACAACGAGCACACTGTGTGTAAGGTGCTAGGCCGGGATGACCTTGACCGCGTGCTATCAATGTTTCTGTGTGTATTCATCTGCTTCAGTTTATCGCCATCATCCTATAAACGTTTAAGCATGTCAAGTAGAAATATTAAAATCATTTGAAATATATGCATATATATATTTTAATATATATAAACATAGCTATATTTTCAATTATAGTATATCAGTTATATCTTCTTGTAATATGATGAATATGTACATGTAACTGTTCTGTTTCACTGTGTCTTGATAAAGGAGCAGATCGCTCCGAAAATTTGACAACCTAACTTGTCCACACTGTTGGAATTACTTCTTTGCCCTATAAACATATATATATATATAAATCAATCACTTTCTTTACAACAAACAAACACATTTTGACATTCATGTATATGTTTCTCTGTTTGGAATATCGATTCCGGTTTAGAATGATATTTTGCGAGACGTGTGGTTCTTCTAGTAGATCTTCCTATGTTGGAAGTCATATTCCCCTGACATTGTGCTTTATATAAATATGGTACCATTACTAGTGGTATATTGGGCTTTATCTGTTTCAAGTACCAGGCTATTTAAAAGTGAATCGTATCAGAAGGATAGTTTCCCTACCAATCGTGATATCCCGCTCGCATTTCTGCGATCTTCACTATAGAGACAGTGAGGATTGCTTTTAAGGATTATGGGTGTCCGGGGTTTCCAAAATAACATGCAGTTCACAATCTTCCGAGGCCAATCCGGGTAGCAGAATATTGTAAGTGTAGCAATTCCAATGTACGGGAACATTCCTGAAAAACACAATTTGTACATAATATTTACAGTAAACTACTTGTAAACACAGTAAACTTTGGAATATCGTAGAAACGACTGAAAATATATAATAACTATTAGTTTCGTGAAAAATTTGAATTAAACTACTTCACCTGCTAGTTGCATAACTGCAATTAACATGTTTAGTGTCATCGTTCTAGTCGTTAACGATTTATTAATTATTTTGTAATAGTTTTGAACATGTTTCTTGTGAGTGACTTTGGTAATCAAACTTGTCCTTTGGAGATGATTCTTAACATATAAATCTCAAAATGATCAACGACAAATTCTTATTTTATTTACACAATATAATTGTGATATCGAAACATGTTTCTGACAACTTTGTATTTTCTTTTGATATATTTAGAGGTGTTTAATGTTATTTACAAGATTGATATTTCAAAACATGAATGTGAAAGGTAATGGTTTGTTACATTTAAAGATTTTCAATGGTGAATTTGCTACCTACATCCTCTTCCCCGACCTAAAAAACAAACCCCAATGCGTTTACTCTTATATTCATAGTAAAAATGGCAAATCTGCTCAACACTTTTAAACATTAAACATGATATTTATTTTATCATTTGTATTCTTTTAATTCCAATAAGCAACTTTTGATACAGCCCAATATCTTCTTGTTATTTTGTTCTCACCAAAGTTAACAAACAAAACAATAACGTGTTGATATCGTAAAATATTATTTAAAACATGCAAAACATTTTAAATACACCAGACAGAAAATTGTCTTCCATACAAATTATTGGCTTATTAATAATACACTAAAGTATGATCAAACCACGCTATAAATTATACTGCCCCCATTTTTTGATGAAACTGTTTAAGTTATCAAGGGGGTTTACTCTGCATATTAATCATCACAAATCAATTAATTATATTTGGCATATAAATCAAGCCATCATAATGCAAAACTAGACGTACCTATTGAGAAGATTTGGGAATTCATTGCATGGAAAGACAAAGCCATGAGCATTCCAACTTTTCTTGTTTTATCAAAGAAAAGTAGAAAACCCAGTGAAAGGTCGAGAAAGAATCCGAATCGGTGTACAATGTAGAGATCAATCATCTCGCTGCTCAGAAAGGGCCTGTAAAACAAGTATATAGGTTTTATTTATCATTGCTGGTATTGGTAAATCAGATTGTTTTTAAATACAGTGTACAAATTAAACAATTGACACATTGCGTCGAACTAGTGATTTTATTTCACTGTATTTATTAAAAAGTGTCTATGTTGAAATCCTAGGACAGTTAAGTTGTGTGTCGTGGTTTCGTTGCCTACCAAAACAAAGATAGTAGACCATAAACCGACACCAAGTAACAGTATAAATGGACAATTTGCTATTCATAAAGTAAATATTGTGTATGTAGTTTTCTTCAATCGGTTAAAAAATTAGCAAATATAAAATCATATGAAATTGAGAACTAATAAATCGGTTCTTAAACTTCTATTATCATTCTTTATGTATCAATTTTCTAATTCCATCTGACAAACCTAAATATATCAAACACCCAATTTCCAGAAAGTCCTCTTTCGGAGTAACCATACAGCCATTCTGGGTCCAACTTCTTAATTCCAGCTAAAAAGTACAGTAGAAATACCTGATAAAGGAAAACAAATATTTAATTTTAATTTTATAGAAATTTGAATGAACAATTTCTTATTCATTTACATGTGACACAATGAACGTTTAGAATAAAATCAGAAACTGGCGTGTATGTGACTAATGCTTTGATAGGGTGATTTTAAGTCTTTATTATTTTAAAAGCTTGCTTTTCGTCTTACTTGGAGATGGATTCCCGTAGACGTTTCTATCAAAGGTAAAGGGCTTTGCTAGTTCTTACATGAAAAAGTTTAAACCTTTGATAGTATATATATGGATAGGTTCAGGACAATATAAATTCAATAGTACAGAACATTAAAATAGTTTTATTTTATCGAAAGTCTTTATTCAATGATCATATAGTCTAACAATTTATGTGTACTCCGCAGCTAAACTACAGTAAATACAGTAAGGCAAAGCCCGAAGACAGAGATTGGACATCAAATTCAGCAAGAATTTCAGAATAAACACAAAATAACAAAACATAAGGTTACACAATGAACTTATAGATAAAGGTACATGTAGAATTGTTTGGTTATTTTTCATTTATTTTTTTAAAAATAACTAATAAATTTAATCGAAACAAATAATTAGCTTAACCTGATATCTCATTAACGTATAATTCCACAATGGCACTTCTTGATTTCGCAGTCTTGACCAAATTAAACTGTCGACAGATCTGTGAAAAAGATGATATTATCCATAACAAAACAGATATAATGAGAGTCAACATTTTCGTCTACTGAATAAGCACATTGGTAGATTTATAATACATTATTTGAATCTGATGCATGTTTACTACTGAATGCGATATAGTTTGATATATTGTTCATTATTCAGCAAACGTAGATACGTTAATGCACATCCAGGAAAGCATCATACATTGTCATTCTTTCGCCTTATTTAGACACTAGCTAAGAGACAATAGTCGACATCCAAATGATGATATATTTAGCTTTAAAAGTGTGTTTACTTTGTCGCCCATACGGGTAAGACACTGTTGTACATTTCTGGTATTTACTTACAAGTATCTGTTACCATCCGTAATAAGTAGCAGAAACGACAGCAGTCCGAATAGGTAACTATGGTTGTTCCATCTTTGCATGTCCAGTAAGTGTACATACCAGTAAATAGCATTGAAAACTACAAGGCACCATCGATACATGAAACCAAACGCTATTCCAATGGTAGCTGAAATATACAAATCATTACCATAACTTAAACCTAGTAAGCAAATACATCATCAATACTAAAACCGCAGGGATAGTCCTATATTAGCTGAAAATAACACCGTCAAATCACAGGGATTACCAATAGTACGCTAGACAAGACTTTTGTTATATTTTGTTACTTTAATACAGGCTTAAATTTCTTATTAATTTATATATTTTTTATGTACATTCTATATCAGATTACCTAACGGACTATAATTAATAAACCAACAATTTCGATGATGTTTTCACATGAAAAGTACACCTCAGCCTCTGTGAAAACACATGTCATGGTTTACAATAGTAGCTGGGAAATGCAAGATACTTTCGATACATGAAACGTTGAATAATGTATAATTGTAGTTTCCGATTTAAATTAAAACAATTTCAAAATTATTCTGACAGCTTTGAAACTACAACAGAACAGTTTTCGGCCCATTTGATACCATGTACTGTACTTATGATAAATATTGGTGTAAACAAATTCCTTACCACAATCAAAATTTATTTTGTGACTGTTAACGTGTAGTTGGTTGCAATAAACAAAGTCAACATCTTTAATGGATTATTAGAGTTACGCTTTATGACACTAGCTAAGTATTTTTAAACATTTTCTTCGGGTTGGTAGGTATGGATTATGAGAAGTTTTTACACAACCAATAAGATTTTCTATGTGACGTTTCGATGACTAGTACGATATGTACACTGTCACCTTCATCAGACAAATGGCCAGTGAAGCGTATGCACACAAAGGTGTAAAATGTGTACGAGTTGTCCACCAAATAAAGTCGATTCGGCTATGCTATAAGCGTACGTACAATAGTTGTTATGTATGTACCGAAATGACCCGTATCCAGATGGCTTCCTTTATCTGCCGCTTGAACAGATTGCTCTCTCTGTCCAAAACGTTATTATCCCAGTCAATCACATGGTTTTTCTGTGTGGCATGGTCTGTGATTGCGATTTTTTTTTATCTGGGACTCATACTGCTTCCATTCTGATCTGGTGAATATGTCCTACCTTCTTGGGTTTCCGTATATTTTTGGTGTTCACCAAGGCGGACCCCAACTCGCCTTCCAGTCTCTCCAATATACGAGGCGTTGAAGTTTTCGCATCCGATTTTGTATACGCATTCTGCGACGTTCTCTTTAGGGTTTTTATCCTGAGGGTGTACTAGGATATTGCGAAGTAATATTGCAATATTTACATTGCACATCATCATTATAAACAACGGAAGCAAATCACAATATGTTTCTGTTATCCTATCTTGTTTCAATGATATATCTACGACCACGAGTTTTGCAGAGTACATTAAAAAGCATGGTCATCCAATGGTCACATTAAAATGACGACAAGTTGCGAATGCCACAGCCATCGAAAAAAGCAATATTGCAATTTGGTGGACATTTTACTCATTTGTGTGATTACGCTGCACTGGTCATTTGTCTGATGAAGGTGTCAGTGTGCATATCTTACTAGTCATCGAAACGTCACAGAGAAAATCGTATTGGTTGTGTAAAAAGAACTTCTCATAAAACACTAGTTAAGTGTTTTCCTGAGATTTTCTGTAAGACTACCTCAAACAAAACACTAGCTAAGTGTTTTCCTAAGATTGTCTGTAAGATTACTTCAAACGTAATCATTTTGCGCAACTTAAGCAAATCACAGTTTTGAATGCAACAGCCATCGAAAATGACAAGTTAACAACACGTGTTTGTGTTAATCGAAAATGACAAGTTAACAACACGTGCTTGGGTTCATCGGAAATGACAAGCTAACAGCACGTGTTTGCGTTCATCGGAAATGACAAGTTAACAACACGTGTTTGTGTTCATCGAAAATGACAAGTTAACAACACGTGCTTGGGTTCATCGGAAATGACAAGTTAACAGCACGTGTTTGTGTTCATCGGAAATGACAAGTTAACAGCACGTGTTTGTGTTCATCGAAAATGACAAGTTAACAATACGTGTTTGTGTTCATCGGAAATGACAAGTTAACAGCACGTGTTTGTGTTCATCGGAAATGACAAGTTAACAGCACGTGTTTGTGTTCATTGGAAATGACAAGTTAACAGCACGTGTTTGTGTTCATCAAAAATGACAAGTTAACAACACGTGTTTGTGTTCATCGAAAATGACAAGTTAACAACACGTGTTTGCGTCTAATTAAAAGATGTGAGATATAAAGCATTTACTAAATCATAGTTCATGTTACTTGCAAAACAGTCATGCAGCTAGAAAATGAAAGAAAGGAAAGAAATGACCAATTAATCATCATGTTCTTACTCAGAAACATGATGAAATAGATTAGGTACATCCAATCCAGGGGCAGAGGTTTCAGAAAATATACTGCTGGAAAAGTACATCTATTCGATGACCATCTCCGGAAAGACGCATTTCCCAATCCTTTCTTTTCTAGAGTGTCGATCATAAGCAGCACACCTGAAGAAGAAAGTGTATATGCCATTACTTATGTTATCTAAGATCAGTTATAACATCTACAACAGGAACTACGCTTCACGGATTTATAACGATGTTTTCATTCAACTAAAATGAAAGGTCATAGACTTACCTTTAAACTATTTACCATATCAAAATCAGATATTCAAAATAATTAATTATTTTTCATTCAGTTACTTTTTGCAAAACCAACAAAAAGGGCTAATGATATTATTAAGGCGGCTCATTTACAAAGTCCTTTTCACGCAATCATAGGTTATATAAAGAACAAAACAAATTTGAACGATATTTTTTAAGAATTATAATCTTTTCACGAAAACGTTACCACCTTTTCCATATCAAAAAAGGCTGACCAAATGGAGCATTAACAATATACAACAAAATGGGGGGGGGGGGGGGGGGGCTGTCATAGAATTGATAATATATATTTCTTAAGATAAATCTTTCAGATCTTGATAGTATATATTTTGTATGAAACTATATCAACTGATATATCTATGATTTAAACTACATCGGATATTTGACTTGAAAATCAGCTTAGATTGTATTTGTAAACTTTTACATTACCTACAACCCCTTTTGCTCTACTACATTTGCCTGAAGAGCTATGTGAGGCAATGCATGCGAGCATTCCAGTTACACACCTAACATGTAAAGCGTGGCGAGTCTTACCATCGTAAGTTATTATTTAGTAAAGAAACATATTTAAACTGATCATAGGGAATACAGTGTTGAATTAAATACATCAACACTATTTCAGCCAGCGAAAATGAATTTCATCAGATGTGTATACAGGTTACTTGAATGATATGTATTTTAAAAGAATCTGTTGTTTATGACTTACAAAAAATACTGATCATAGAAACTACAAACGGATCATGGGTTTTTATTACAATATGATTAGCCGCTATGTTTATATTACAATATGATTAGCCGCTATGTTTATATTACAATATGATTAGCCGCTATGTTTTTATAACAATGTGATAAGCTGCTACATTGTATACCTTATAAGGCCGCTACATTGATGATTTTTGGGTTATAAAGCTTCTGATATACATACAGCTTAATTTGGCTCCACTTACATATATATAATAACTATAAATGCAAGCGGCCAAATTTAAATCTTATCAATAGCCTAAATAAATGTACATTATATTCGTATTAATACCGCAATGTACAAAATGTGTGGATATAAGCAAAAGTATATGTTTTAATTTTCAATTAAATACGACATACCATACAAAAATCGCATAACTCCGAGAGCTGCCGGATCTGTTGGCCGGCACATCAGCCTCACAAACGATTTCCATGAGGTTAGTTCACTGAAGGCAAACCCGAACAATACCCGCTGCCTAGCTCCTGTTTCCGTTGCAGTATTTTGTTTGATCCTCTCATTGTTACTCGCCACGTTTGGTTGAGAACCGCCTTTACCACTCCTCGCTGGTATCTCTTTTCGTTGCCGAATTGTGTTTGTCATAATATGTTATCGGAGAGTTGATGGTTTCTAAAGATTTTTTAAAAAGTAAACAATGATAGATATGATATAGGATCGTGACCGTATAAAAAACCATGAAACCAAATCAATGTCTTATATTAGGAATACACACGTGGCAAAAACGTTTCCTTGTTTCTCTAGTGGTGAATTATTCATACTATGTATGATGGGTGTAACTATCAATCACAATCTGTCAATATACGAGTACGTGTCTAAACACAGGTAGTACACGTGGAAAGTCGTGAGCAAGTGGTGAACGACGTCTCGACTATAAATAGGGGATGTCTCAGATATTGTCTTCTCGCGAGATCTCAAAATACTTCGCAAAAAAATAACGTTCGTCTTTCTGATCCAAAATCTAATTATGGTATATAAATATCTACCATGAGTTAACATCTGCTTTCCGTGACAGCGTTCTCGGCGTCCTCACAGAGGACCGAACAAAACATTCTTTTATAGTGCGGACTGACTGAAACATAATATTTCAAGTTGTATATCGTTATTCACTGAGTATACAAACTCACCAAGCACGTTCTCAAGGGCCTCCGTGTTATTTTGTGAATTTATTTCCAATTGTTTTCCCCATACTCTGTCGTAATTTCATTTATCATAAATTAGCATTAGTTACGGTCTTCGCTTCGATATATACACTTTACAGATTTACAATATGATAAAACAACAAAAATATAACAAATATTACATTATGGTTTGCCTTAGATAATAGAATACCAGAAAAAAACATATCATCGTTACACAAACAGACATCTTAAAAGAGAAGAAGATATACTTTCTGATAAATGCAAAAGATATTGCAAACCTATTGTCATAATTTACAACATTCCACTTGTTTACCCTATTGTGTGGCAATAGGTTTTTTTAAGTCTGACACTGGCAGGTGCATAATATATCTATATATTTAAGTATAATCGTTTTATCATAAAAAGAGGGAAATTCGTTGTAGAATGTAACTATGAAGGAGTTACCTCCCTTAACATACATATATTTATATATATACAATCAACAACCAACATTAAATCATTACTGATGTTTCACATTATCTTTCATGATAATAGTTGTCAACTTACATGTAACTGGAATTGGTTTTTTTTGGAAAAGTTTTTTATTTGCATTTTTCACATATACATACAATACACATTACAAGGACACAACTTTCAGTCACACTACCTTACTTCTGGGAATGAATTGATTCTTTATATAAATGAACAAGTGGTTCTCTGTTATATAATACAAGATAATATAGTGTTCAGCTGCACCTCACTATCTCAAAATCGGACGATTCACTCGCAGAAACGTTTTCATGTCTGAACATTTAGAAAAGTTAGACAACAAAATGAGCCTTAACTTTTAGTTTAAAATTGTTTTAAGTCGTCCGAATTCAAAATTTTGAGGTCTGACTTACATTTATGCGGGAATTTAGACAACGTTAGCATGAACTAATTATGTATACAGGTTACTAGATTTCTATCACTAAATTTGATAGGAGTCTCCATCTTTGATGGAATGCCACCAGTTTACCATTGCATGTAGATATATATTTTTCAGTATTATATTAAATCTTAATATCTTTCTTAACACTTTCAATATATAACATGTCACCTTTCATACACTGTTTGTAAATGTAATGCTTTACGATCAACACAACTAGATTTTGGCCTTGATATTGTTTACCATGTTTACCAAAAAGAATCTCTTGTTTAGTAAAGTTAATCAACACAGCTGTTTTCAAAAAATATCCAATTTTCAAGCAGGTTTCATAATCTTTCAACAAGCTCACATTCACAAAACATATGTAAAATAGTTTCCTCTGTCTGTTTACAGAAGGTACAGAGGGAATTTCCAAAACACTGGTTTTTGTTTAAAAAAAATAGTTGCCAGTATCATGTGTGTAATTCTGTATTGAAACCACCTGAGAGTAACATATTTTGTTGTGTAAAGAACAACATTTTGTAACTTTTTTAAGTCTATAACGTCTAAGTTTAGTATGTTTGACCATTTGTCAATATATTTGCTCGTATAGTTAATGTTTGAAATAAAAATGTCTCTACTACCCTTTTTGTTTTTATTTATTAATTCAAATGCAATAGGTAGCAAAGGCTGAAAACATTGGTCTACAGTATTGCGAGTATAGGAAAGCCATATAGGCCTCACAGCAGTTATCAAACCATAAAACAATGTATAAGGTGGTCGAAAATCATAGACCCTACAACAATCTTCATAGGAGTAAAGAGAATTATTATCCTTTCAACCATATCACAGAGGAATCTAATCCCTCTTTCAAGCCAAGTCTGATAACATATAGTAGAGTTATCAACCTTTACTTTTGTATTGAACCATAATACATGTAGCAGTCTAAGTAGGTCCGATGTTTTAACATCACGTTCTAAGGTATATTCTGCAAATGTTCGAAAAATTTCAAACCAAAAAGGATTTAGGTATCTATAAGATAACTTTAAATAATGATTGTCACCAAACAACATTAACTTGTTGTTGGTTGCTGTATCATATACATCTAATACTATTGATTTCCAACTAGCATCTGTGTTTACAGGTCTCCGTATCCACGTCGGTTTTAATGCTTTATTAAAGGACAGTAAATAGGTCATTCTACACCCACCATTTTTAAAATCTTGAATAATCTGTTTTCTGGCAATTCTATCACTACTATTCCAAATGTATTTATAGAAAATGCTCTCTAGCTCCTTCAAGAATTTACCATCTGGTTTAGGTAGACTCATACAAAGGGGAGTCAGTTTTGGGATCAGTAGGGATTTTACAACTGTTATTTTACCAAGAACAGTTAATCTTCTCTTGTACCAATGTTTTAGAATATTATTTATATCATTTAGTTTAGCTTTGAAGTTTATCTCTGAAAATTTCCAAATGGGGTGTGATACGGGTTTTGCGGGCTGATACGGAGAGGGCTAATAGGGTTTTGGGGTGTGATACGGGTTTTGGGGTGTGATACATCGAGGGCTAATATGGGTTAGAGAAATTGTGTCTTATCGCATATAAAAAAAAATGTAAAAAATAACAATGTTTTATGTAATATAAAAAAATTAACTTGAAATATAGGCCTATTGAGCATATAATGACAAATATAAAATATAGTCATGAATATTGTGATGTCGTGTGATACACTTATTTGAATGTATAAAATACTTCCCAGTCCAGAATGTCTTTCCTGTTGGGTATTGCACAACCGTAGCCTAGTACCGCATTCCTTACAACCTTTCTGGTCCAGGTATTCAGATAACACCACGAGTCGTCTACCCTGCGACCAGGTTAAATAGTTATTAGCGTATTCGTGATCACTAGAACTGGATGGATCCTCATCGGACGTCGGTGTCGGCTCATCAGTCAAATTGTCAGTAGTAGGGGCCTCAGTAGTCAGCGTCTCTTCAATGTGTGAACGAATGTCACTTTGTTGATATTGGACATCGTTGTTGTTATTTTTGTCAGTTAATGCGTGTAGTTTACATTTAAAACGGCCGTTTTTACGTCGGGCTTGCATGTCGGCCATGACTGCCACGACGTTTTTACATCGTTACGACAACTTTTATGTCCACACTTTCGCTATTGGAGATTATCAACGCAAGGGACACAACTCTGTAGTCAAAACGCTATTCAAACGAAATCTGTTCAAGGGAATATAACAACATTGTCGAAATGGTAATCAGGGGCAGTTGACTCTAACACTCAAAAACGACAGTGGAATTCTATATTGTTTTGCTCTGCCTGTGACGGGTATCCTTAAATGACCATAGCTGTTAACAGGACGTAAAACATAAACAAACAAACCTAAAACCAAACTATCTAAATACACTGTAGGTTATTTTTCAAAATGGCGGATATTTTCATCGACGAAGCAACTTCATGTCGGATGACGTCACGGATGACACGGTTACCATTCAAACTGATATTTGTTTTTCTTCTTTNTCTCTCTCTCTCTCTCTCTCTCTCTCTCTCTCTCTCTCTCTCTCTCTCTCTCTCTCTTCTTAGTATATTTATTCATTTCTTTACGTTTTATTTTAGGCATTTAGGACTAGTTTCCACGACACAATCGACAAGACGATTCGGGCTAGTTTTGAAACGTTATCAGCTTTTATCGTTTTAACTGTTTTATTAATAAAGAAAGAAAGTTTTAGTAATACAGTTAACATTAGACTATACTTTCATCAAATTTACCATGAACATGGACTTATATATGGACAATAACTGCATATGTAATTAGTCTGTTGATGCATACTAAAGAAATGAAATCGAGATAAAATTGTGGCGAACAATGATGATAATGATTTAAACACTAGCATATCAATAAAACAATGACAATTACAAAAGCCCATAACTGTTTTATTATAAGCTTCAACAATAAAATAAAACAAAACAAAACTCAAGGTTCTGCCTTTGTACGCGAACCCCCGAAGCCAGGTTAGAATTCAACAGTTCACCATCGTAGCTTTCTAAGACATCGTCTAGGTTCTTTTTCTTAAGATAAGCATGGAGGACACGCACTGGGTATTCAATGGCCTTTTTCTATGTAAACAGCATCTTTATCCTCGAATAGTTTTCGCAGGTTTCTGATGCAACGTAGGAGAAACGTTAGCCAGCAGCCATCTTCTAATGTCGTCTGACAGATCGCGTTCCGGTCTAACTGCGCATTCGCTACGACAGGTTCCGGTGACATTTCATATAGGCAATATTTAGAAATCGATATTCAACGGATAACCAGTCTACATTGATTGTTGAGAGTCTATTTAAGGGAGAAACACTTAGCCCTACTAGTCACACATACATGATATAACGTCTACCACAGACACGCTTGGACCTACTAGTCACAAATACATGATATAACGTCTACCATAGACACACTTAGCCCGACTGGTCAGAAATACCTGATATGATGTCTACCATAGGCACGCTTGGACCTACTAGTCACAAATACCTGATAGAACGTCTACCAT